CCCCAAAACCCCAAAACCCCAAAACCCCAAAACCCCTACATAAAAACCTTGGATGGAAGATGTATAATAAAAAACAATGAGTCTCCTAAAATTCCTACCTCTCCTTCTCCTCACTCTCCTCCCCCCATCCAAAGCCAACCTCACCTCCTTCCCCAGACCACAGCCCCGCTTACTCCAAGTAAAATCCCTTGAACAACACTGGGAACCTACCATACTGTAAGTAAGACTAGAGAGGAAGGATTTAAGTGGGATTTAGTAGTTTTACTGAGATTTAGAAGGATCTAATGGATTTAGGAATGGTAGAAGGGAAAAAGTGGAAAGATGCCAGAAAGACGGAGTCTGGTATGATGGAATAGAGAATGAAGTCGTTGTGAAGAGAGAGAGGAAAGAGTACCCCAGAGCTTGTTTTTATGAGTTAGATAGGGAAGGAACTGAGCATGTATTGATAAGTTATTCATCTTTAAGTTTTGCTGAATTGTTTCTGGTAAGATGCAGGAAGAGATGAGATTTGTCTGAGATAAATGCTTTTGATGAATCTGAAAATATGAACATTTCCAAGCTATCTGTCAACATCTCAGATGATGATTCAGTCAGAGCAAAGCTTCCTCATGATATTTTAGTCAGTAAGAATAATTCAAAAAATGATACATCAAATTCAGGAAGATCTTTAGAAAAGCCCAGTAAACCAAATTTTCAAGAAAAGGAAGCAAACAAAAGACTCTTGAGAGTATTCTTCTGTAATCTCATCGGATGTGTGATTTTTATCATCCTCTTCAGTGTTTGCTGATTCTACATAAAACAAAAATGATTTTCTCGCTCTCTTTCTTTAAAGGTCCAAATTGAGACAATACCTATTTCTTCTTTGAACAACATCGGTGCTAAGATCTCTTTACAAGAAACTTCTTCTGCAGAAGCACCTGTAGACACCGACTTAGAAGGCCCTCAGCTACTTGTAGAAAGATGCAGAAGATACTCTAAGAGTAAGCGATATTTCTTTACTTTCTCTAGACTCAAATCCTTTCGCTCTTTCCTTCCAGCCAACTTCAGTTACTAAGCCTGCTGTTTTACGCCTGAACAACACGAAAAGGTACTTAAACTCTTACTTAAACAAATTGAACTATTTCTAAATTCTTACTAGCATATGAACTTTGCTATGGATTAAAATATTTTAAGAAAATTTCATTTGAAATATCTGAATAGGTATCTAAAGGCAAACTCCAAGAACAGCTCTACAAATTTGTTGAGGAAGAAAGACACTCTGCCACACTAATTTTTCAAAAAGATTCAATAATTTTGAAGCAAAAAGGGGTTTTGGGGTTTTGGGGTTTTGGGGTTTTGGGG